CTCATGCTCTGTGGTTTCCAAGGTAATCCCAGGTGACCTTGTACTGCTCACTTTTTTCAGGCTTTTGTCATTCGTGGGGAAGCTAGTGTTTACTTAGACTCTAAGATAGGTCTGAGGAAGAGTTTTAATGAGGATTCATCTTTCTTAAATTATTAGGGACTTCATTAAAAATGTTAATGTCTTCTGTGACAGAGTGTGTGTGGGGTAGATACAGGTGGGAAATTTCTTAATTGTGAAACTGACTATCTTGGAGTCTTGGGATTCTAGACTGCTAAGAAAAATACCATTTTAACAATGAAAATGAGGTTTAGTTCACATACCTGGTCCTTTAAGGAAACCAGGCAGAGGGCCAACTGAAAACTCAGGCTTGGAATTTAATCAATATGCCTGCCCCTTCATACCACTGCTGTGGGCAATTTGGATGCCTTTGACATAAAAGGTTGAGAGAGACTAAGTGGGAGGTGACAGTTGTGGCTAAAGGTATTATAGGGTTATCTGGTAGAGGCCACTATAAATTCTGTAGACTAAATAGAATTTTAATAAGTCTAATAGTCATTGAGAGATGGACTGTCATCCATCAAACACAATGAATGGTAGAATATATCCATTTTCAAATTATTTTTGTTCTAACATATCTTTAGCAATTTAAGTCAAAAGAGTGGGTAAATGGATCATTGTGCACATTAGAATTAGACTGAGACTATTGATTCAAGGTTTCTAGTGAATGAATTATCAATACGGCCAACTGCAAATTTCATTTGGAATTACTGTGACTTGGCACATCAGTGCATTTGAATAGATCGTGCATAACCTAGATTATTGTTCGAGTGAATCCCTTACAGGCTATTACATAACTTCAGTAAACCACATGGCCTGGAGTCACTGGAAACACTTGATCTACTGATTCCTCAGGTGTGTCAGGTAATAATACAGCCTCTACAGTGAAAGTCGATTGTGGTGTTCCATGGCAAGACAAAAGGCACAGTCAGGAAGCTAGACCTGCCCAGCAGATTAACAGTATGTGCTGCCTAGGAAAAGGTGGAAAATCAAAGTCTGCCATACTTCGGCAGGTGTCTGGGATGTCACTTCCTGGTCTTTGTCTTCACTGAAGAGTCCTGAAAGGGGAAGATCCTGGGTGATAAGGGCGCTTGAGGACAGGAGGGAAAGGAAAGTTTGTCTGAGTGAAAACTTTTGACACTACCTTCTGCCCTGGGAAATGTTATGTGGTGGTCTTGTTAGCTCCATTAAATGGTCCATCGTCTTTGGTAATTGTAAGAGTACATGTGAGCACCTTTAAAATATATTTATCTCTAAATATCTAGGAATCTCAAAATATATAGAACAGATCTGTTCCTGAAAAATTGACCATTTAGTGACAGCTCCTGTGCTGAATCTAGTTTGCCCTTTGCCTCCCACTGTACCTTCCTCTAGTAAAAACTGTAAGACAAACCAGAACTATACATTTCAAATACTTTTTTTTTTTAACAAATTTGAGCACTGATTTTGAAAGGGAGAAAATTGCAGTGATCACTTGATTGATCAGTCAAATAACTTCAACAGAAAAGAGTTGAGTCTGTCACTTTTGCTGCCTCATATGGCAGGTCAGGAAGGCCCAGTGGTTTCCCCAGGGAGATACATTCTTTGCCTTCTTCAGACTACCTTAACATGGCTGATTTTACATTCATGGTAGTCCGTTTAGACTTTATCTTTGTGTTCCCATTAGTTATACTGCTCTGTAGACAACTTCAGTCCCATGATTCCTATTAAATCTCAGAGATTTAGGTTAAAGCATCATTTGATCCTGGAAATTCAAATAGTAAAATAGCCAGTTACTCCTCAGTGATGGCTATGAATTCTTTTTCAGTCAGGATGGTCATTGAAGTAGAGCAGAAAGAAGAAGGAAACTCCAATGTCATGTAATTTAATTTCCCTCTTTGCTAATGTTCATATCCCACAAAATTGCCACCACCCACACCCTTGTCGCCTGGCCTGCTTCTTTCATTCTGTTCTTGAATTGGACACAGCGAAAGCCAGGATCCACAGCCAAGCACCACTGCTTTTAATTGTGTACATTTAGACTCTCATTTAATGGACACCTAGCAGATTGGTCCTAGCAAATTTCATATCCTGAATTGCTCCACTTCGAAGGGTATCATCTAGAGATTCTCTGAAAATGACTTCTTCTGACATAAGTCGTTTTGCTTTGTATACATGCAAGTGTGTTAGCAAAGAAACACAATCTCCTTTGCTTCATGTGTGTTAAAGAGGCATGTGGGGGTAAAGGCAGAAGCATTTCCTCGATGCCCTGAATAGGAAGAGAGCTCTGTGGACAAGTAGTATGTACTGGTCATTCTCACTAAGACTCAGTGGCCAACCACAATGAAAGGAGAAGGTCGGCAGAGCATCTGAGAGCCATAGCGAGCACTAAACCCAGTTGTTTATCCCAAGATCATTTAGCATCAGGTTCCCAATTCCATCAGAATAATTGATTTTCCCATAAATGTATATCACCACTTTGTATGGAGCTAAGGCAATGAAGCAGTGTAGCCTCTAAGCATTTGAAATGAACAACAAAAAAAACAATATAAAGATTTCAATATTGTACATGTAGGACCCAGAAAACGTGCAATTACTTGAAAAAGATTTCAAAAACAGTCCTCCGTGTTGCTGATTTCTGGAACTAAGCTCTACTTTCTATTATGAGTCCATCATATTTATAGCTTTATGTGAATCTAGTAAAAATTAATTATTAATTATATAAATGATAAATAAAGAGAGAATCTAGCTACAGTGATTTCTGGAAATTAACATCAAAGATTTCATGGCCCACGCATTTTCCCCAACCAGAATTCCTAAACAACTATCTTAGCTCAGGCTACCGTAACAAAATATAATTGACTAGGTAGCTTAAGCAACAGACATTTATATTCTTGTAGTTCTGGAGGCTTGAAGTCCAAGATCAAGGTGCCAGCATGGTCAGATTCTGTTAAGGACTTTATTTGTAGCTTGCAAATGGCTACCTCCTTGCTGTGTGCTCTCCTGGCCCTTCCCAGGAGCATGCCCAAATAGAAAGAGATAGCTCTCTCTTCCTCTTCTTATGAGGATATCAGTCCTATTGGATTAGGACCCCCATCCCTATGCCCTCATTTAATCCTAATTATCTCCGAGAAGTCCAGTCCCCAGATGCAGTCACCTTGGGGGTTAAGGTATCAACATACACATTTTGGGGGGCTATAATTCAGACCATGGCAACCATATTTGTGACAACCAAGTTCCTTTTGGTACAAATGTTTTTAATTCCTTTTCCCTAGAGATACCAATAAATGTCTCCTGAAGTGAAACTCCTATGAATGCATCAGATTAATATCTGAGGTCTCTAAATGGTCTTTTAATATGCTAAATTCATTATAGGGTTCTTTAATCACTGTTACTACCCCTGACACAAACTCCTTACCTAAAGGAACACACGTGCAATGCTTTTATTATATTCTTTTAAGGAGCCTCTTTTTTTAAAGTTACCCACTGCCCAGTTAAACAGTCAGGTTTGGTCATAATCAGCCATAAGAGAAATAACAGTATGGGTCTACATTGTTATCAAGGATAACAGGATAAAGTCATCTTTACTGAGGATAAAGTCATCTTACATAAATTAGCATACTTCTACATAAAGTAGTACATGATATGCCAGAAGGAGAAGGAGAAAAGCCCTAAGTCTCAATAAGAAACCATGGGACAGGAAAGGGACTCATTGTGCGGGCCAGCCCGGTGGCCTATGGGTGTGTGTGCTCAAGGCTTGTCCTGGCCATTGCTGCTGGGAGGTGTGGGTCTCCTAGCAATTTTTTTTATATATTTTTATTTTTTTATTAACATATAATGTATTATTTTCTCCAGGGGTACAGGTCTGTGAATCATCAGGCTTACACATTTCATAGCACTCATCATAGCACATACCTTCTCCAGTGTCCATAACCCAATTTTTTATTAACCGTGGGGTCCCTTCTCTCCTTTGAGCCATTAGTCCTTCCTCCAACACATGAGAATTTCCTTGAGGTCTAGCAGTCTCTTGGCTGTACTTTCACAAGTTCCAAGAAGATAAAAATATGAGCTGATGGATGTGTTCGTTAACTAGATGGGAGGAATCTCCTGTGCACGTGTAGCAAATCATCACAATGTATACTTTAGATATCTCACAATATCATTTATCGATTATACGTCAGTAATGCTGTAAAAATATAAATTTCATCAATCCATGCCTTTTCTAAATCAAAGACAACACGGGACAGGTGTGGAGCTCAGTGAAAACGGACAGGGATCCCCACCTCCTACACAGTATATCCTCAGCTGGAAACTCCCTTTGTCCGGCAGCCTTTTGTTTTATAGAGTTAATTTCCAGCTCTGCTCATTTGCTTAGTCTGAGATCCCACAGATGATTTTTCTTTAAGAAAGCAGCTTGTGGAGGTGCCTGGGTGGCTCAGTCAGTTAGGCATCTCTCTTCAGCTTGGGTGGTGATCCCAGTGTCCTGGGATCGAGTCCCACATTGGGTTCCCTGCTCTGTGGGAAGCCTGCTTCTCCCTCTCCCACTCTCCCTGCTTGTGCATGCTCTCTCTTTCTCTCTTTCTGTCAAATAAATAAAAATAAAATCTTAAGAAAGTAAAGGAAAAGTAAAGGAAAGAAGAGAAAAAAGCAAAGAGAAAAAAAAAAAGAAAAGAAAATAAAGAAAAGAAGTGAGTTGGGTCCTTGCCCAGCTTTGTGGAACCTCAGCTGGTATAGAACCAGGGCATAGTGAGCACTCAACAGTTGTTTTCTGAATGCATCATACTTAAATATAGGAATATGAGAATTGCTTATTGGAAAGAAATGCTGGAGGAAGCACAGATTTTGAGCACCTTCGACGGCAGGCAAAACAACTGAAGTACCCAGCAGGTAGTCTGAGCATCAGGAGGAAAAAGAGGGATCCTTCTTTCTTAGCTCTACCACATACTGATGAGTGGCAGTGAGCCATGTCCTTAATGGCTCTGGGCTTCAGCTTCCTTATCCGTAAGGTAGGATTAAATAATACCCATCTAGGGGCACCGGGTGGCATAATCAGTTAAGCACCTGACTCTTGGTTGTGGCTCACGTCATGATGTCAGGGTCATAAGACTGATCCCTGCGCTGGGTGCCACGCTCAGTGGGAAGTCTGCTTGAGGATCCTCTCTCTCCCTCTGCCCCCTCTCAAATAAATACATTAATTAAAAAAAACAATTATGGTCTAATCTCTATACTGTTTTGTATAATGTAGACAACTGGAATTACACTGGAACTTTGTGTGAGACCAAGCTCCATGAGTACCCAAAGTAAAGAAGAGATGTTTTTTGGCTTCTCAGGACTAGTACAATGTCCTATTTATAGTACTGCCGCTGGCAGGGAAATTCTTCCTTTAACCTGAGAGAGAACTCTAAATTAAAAGGGAAAGATGTGCAATAAGGGATGAGCTCCCGGATTCTGAAGAGCCTACATTTTGGTAAATTTGTATACCCCATGCACAAAAAGGAGACGTTCTAGTGTGCCAGTGATTATCTGTGCCTTAGCGTAACTACCGGGACTCCTCTCCCTCAGGCGACAGGAGCTCGGGAGCAGCACATGGGCTGCTCACACCGACGCCCCGTGGAGTGCCAGTCTCCCAGGACGGGCCACAGACCACGTGGGGTCAGCTTGTGCACCCTCCTGCCCCGGACCCGGGACTCAGAGACACAGACACGTGCGACTCCACGCAATGCCGCACCCTGTCTTTATACCCGAGCCTGTTGTCCATTTGGCTGGATGTTCACATCAAGAAATCTACATGCCTCAAGGCTGGATGTAAGGCTTGAACTAGCATCCCAGAGAAAAAAGGTCAGCACTTTGATACACAGCTTCCACAAAATGGAATTTTAATGAGCAGAAGCAAAACCTGATCTCCTTGCTCAGAAAGCAGATGTCTTTGTTCTTTTCATGTTTTAACATTTCACTAGCTCAACATCTCTCCTTTTATTCTGGTAACTCTCCACTAAGGACTAAGAGAGGCCGTCTGTGCCTCTCTGCCTTGTTTTCTCACCTAAGATGTTTAGATTTATGTGTTTTAGGAAACTCTTAGGAGAGGTGTTGTGAGGCACCAAGGTCTGTTGTTCCGGAATCCTTTTTTAGTGGGAAAACACTCAGATGCGACTGAATGACTCTAATTTGGTTGTGATGGGGGAACATGTGGCTTTGGGTACATGATAATGACATGAACCCGTGCGAGCCCTTGTGTTATTGACTCGTGGTGATGAGGAGGGGGAAAAGGAAGAGACATGGGAGCCAGAAAGCTCTGGAAGATTCCTCGGAGTTAAAGCCCAAACCTTTGATGTTTGCTTTCATCCTCTTTAAGAAAATATACTTGCCTTAGATTCCTACCTCTAAAAATAAAGCTTTTGTTTCTGCACAGGGCTTGATTGTTAAAACTCAGATTGCAAAGACAAAATTCGGGAAACTTTTTCTTCCCCATAAACAGATACATGTGGGCACTTCTGGGCCTCGTCCCAGGCTCCTTGAATTTGCTGGGAGTCCACATGTGTGCGTGAGCAGTCCAGCATCACCTCCTGAGTGCAATCAGAGGGCAATATGGCATTTTAATGAGCTCTGTCAAAGTGTTATTGTATCCAAAGGCCAGAAAAAATTTAAGAAACATTTTTGTCTTTCTAACTCTTTTATCTGCTGCCAAAAGAGAGTGGAAAGATAGGTATTGAAGCCCTGTCCTCACTCTTCAGGCCAGGCTTCTTCTGTGCTTGGCTGATTCACTCAACTTGTTTCATGATGATGGAGGCCTGGTTCCAAGAGCAGACTCCCCCATTTCCAGTGCTAACCCATTGCTCAGAAAGCAGAAGAAATGTTCTCATGCAGCCTCTCCTTATGAACAGCAAAGATGTCTGCACAGTTACAAAATACTCTTATCTAATGGCTTGCAAGCCTTGTGCTGACATCCATGTTCTATTCCTGCTCTAACAGGATTTTGTCATAACAATGAAAAACGCTGGGTTTGGGGAGAAAGTTGAGTGTGCCAGAGACTGTCCTCTCTCAGGGTTGGGTATTTTCTGCACAGTCTAAGCCTGAATCAGAAGAACATCACAGATGCACGGTGCATTGGACACGGAGCACATGCATGCATTTAAATCACGTGTATCTTACTTCTTTACTGATGTAATTGTGAAATATGTTCCTTTTGCATTCATAATTAGGGGGTGGAACAGATGGTGAAGGCTTAGTTTAAAATAATCTGTCATTAAAATAACCTAGCCTACTGGTAATTCTTCACTCTAACTGGAGTGAGGTCATAGGAAAAGAGTTTGGGGTGATTTTTTTTTTCTCTCTTCTGCATTGGAATGTGGAAGAAAGAGCCACTAATCTCAGAGTGGTTATATACGTGAGAATTACCCCCTCGAAGGGCACCATAGTAGGATTTCGCTCTGTGAAATCTGGCTGCAGTGGAATATGCAGGAAAAAGAAAAAAAAAAGCAGAGACAAAACTACTTTGACAAATATAAATCCATTTAGTACAATGCATTAAACATTAGTGTACCTTCGATCATGAAGCTATAGTTAGTTTCATACCCTGCAAGGAAATAACCTCATCATTTGACAAATACTGTTAGAGGCCCTCAGCTTTTGGGGTTAAGAAACTGTGCCTTATACTTTATATGTTACACTGATGTCAGGGGATATAAATTATAATTACAGGCATTACTATTCAGATATGCTGTAGCTCCTGACTTCTGCATCCAAGCCTCCCTCCTGTATGTGTGTACCTCATAGACTTACCAGGATGTGACAAAGGAAATCTCCTATCAGCCCTGTCAGGATGGCTAAGAACTGGTTTTAGTAATAAGAAAACTGTCCTGATAAATCAGATACTAGCATGCCTTTAAAATGTCTATTTTACTGTTTCTTCTAAGATTTTGTTCTCCATCTGCTTTGAGGAAAGCAGATAGATTTCAGCATGGCTTTATAATAAATCTTCTCAAGGAGGGACTAGCATTAACATTTGTGTAGATTCTTTTTCATCTTAATCCAACCTTAGTTAATAATCAGAAAATTCTACATAGTGAGTAAGGAGATGTAATTAACCCTTTGACCCCAGAATCTTAATTGGCGCCTGTTGAAAACAGTGGGCAGTTAAAAAAAAAAAAAAAATTAAAAAGTAGCCTGCAGTGATTCAAAGAGCTTGGAATGTATGTAGTAGCTATCTTGAATCTAATTTTTAAAAATTCCACAGAACTTTCAGATTAATCACTTTTGGTTCCCAAGACTAGCGGATCGGATGTTTCCCTCCTCCTGCCACCTTTTAAGATGGAGACACACACATGAAACCACTATCAATGCTACTCTTAAGACTTCCCTAAGCAGAACAGAACAGAACTAACTATGGATGGGGATGACCCTCAGTCAGAAGGTGATGGCAGTGGCAAAGGCTGAAGGGCAGCCTCGCCAGTCTACTGCTGACCCAAGTTCATATTCCATTTCCGTAGTTGAAACATAATCAGATCTGAGTTTTGGACATTCATCTCACACTGTAGATACAATTGACATGATAAATATAAAGGTAAAAAATAAGTCTAAGGTCACCTGGGTGGCTCAGTGGGTTAAAGCCTCTGCCTTCGGCTCAGGTCATGATCTCAGGGTCTTAGGATCGAGCCCCACACCAGGCTCTCTGCTCAGCGGGGAGCCTGCTTCCTCCTCTCTCTCTGCCTGCCTCTCTGCCTACTTGTGATCTCTGTCTGTCAAATAAATAAATAAAATCTTTAAAAAAAAGTAAGTCTAACCAGGGTTTTTTGGTTTAGTTTAGTTTTGTCTTTTGGTTTTTTTGGGGTATTTTGGTTTTGGGGGATTTGGGTTTTTTGTTTTTTTTTTTTTACATCTGTGATGACAAACAACTAATCTGACGAGTTGTGTTCTTCCCACACCAAATTGGCTGTTATTTTTAATTGAATTGACTGGACGCTTTGTGTCATGTAGACATAGACTCATTTTAATCTCACCAGGAAATTGGAACATGTGTTGGAGCCTCTGCTTTGCCAAACAAAACTGGCCAGTTCTTAGATCGCTGCTGCTTAATAGCATCAGATGTTTAGCCTCCAGAAATTTTTTTTTTCCTTGCTATCATGCCCAAACATCCTCTACTGTTTTAGTAAATACATGAGATATGAACCTAATGTTACAAAATCACGATTGCTTTCAGTGAGAACGTAAAGGATGTATGTGGCTGGCAAATGGCCCGCACTTAGTATTTTGGAGAACTACAAAAGAATCTAGTCTGACTCTGGTCTTGCAAATGTTAAGAGATATCCCAGGCTGTGTTAGATATCTGTGATGTCAGCATCTGCAAATACTCTAATAGCTTCATGACCAGGACTCTTGGGGAAGATAATTTCCACCCCTCTTAGTCATTCTAGCATTTGTGATCTAAGGGAAGGAGCTTTGGGCTTAGAGGTAGAACTGGACTTACTAAGTCTGGTCTGAGCAATTGTTAGGTGTTGGCCAGATGAAGATGACTAAGACATTGCCCACTGTTGAGAAATTCAGTCTCCTTGGGAGTTGAATAAGCCAGTCAGGACCATCCAGTGTCATAAATGCTTGAACAGAATCATCAGGGTGTAGCAGATTTAATCCTAGCTTTGCCACCCGCTGACTGTATGATCGGGTCCAAGCACTAAACCTCTCTGTGCCTCAGTTTCCTCACCTGTAAAATGAGTGTTTAGAGGACAGGGGGTTATCTCTCTGCCAGGTCCATCAGTCCTTTCTTCTCTCAGTTAGCCTTTTGGTTGTCCTGTGTTCCCATAAAAGGTTCTCCTGTCTTCTGTCTCTCTCTGTCTCTCTAATCTGACAACAGCACTCTAAGGTGTGAGAAGATGGCTTGCAAAGCTCTCTTTCTGTGTATGCCAGGGCATGGCCATTGGGTTGAGTGGAAAACCTGTCCATGGGGAAGGCTTAAAGGAGTGGGAGGGAGGGTCTTAATCTTCGTGAGTCAGCCTCAGGAGATCTCTTAGGTGAGGTAAAGACAAGTGGAAACAGATCCTTCCCAAACTTCCACAAAAGAAACATCTGTCCCTTTGCACTTTTTCAAAGCAAGAGTCCACTCTTCCACACTCCACGCTTGAAAGGTTGGCTCTCACCAGGCTCCAGAGTGGGTGGCAGTGTGGTCAAAGGGAAGGAGCCCACTAAGCAGTGTTTTGTTCCTTGTCCCATAGCTGATTCTAGGAGAGAGATTACGTGGCAAGGTGACAAGTTAACCTCTTGTGGGAGTGACCTGTGAACTCTCTTGTCATCCCACTTCCTGTCTGTCTCCTGATAGTGGGATTCTGTCATCTGAACAATCATTCAAAATCAAGTGACGATTTTTAAGTCATAGGCTGCCTCTTAGCAAAGTTTCACTTCAGAAATGTTATGGCCATTTCTTTCCATTAAGTTACACAATCAGAGAACCTTTGTTTTAGTGGAGGCAGTCTTGTCATTAATTCCGACGACCACAGTTCGAATCCTGACTCCATCACTAACTAGAGAGGGGCACGTTGCCTGCCTTCACTAAGCCTCAGTTTCCTTGTCTATAAAATGTAGATCGTAATATAATTACCTCAAATGATACTTGTGAAAATTAAAAGAGATAACACATGCAAACTGCATAGCGTGTATTGCTTAATAAATGGACGATATCCTGACCAAAAGCTTGTCTATCATGAAATGTGTAATGTAATCATGTAATGTGTCTTTGGAAATGTTTTCAGAACCTACCTAATCAGAGAAGGAGATTGGGGGCTACCCACAGTCTCTGACCAGTGGGGCTCTAAAAATGGGTCAGGAAGTACGGAAGCCAAATGTCATATCTGTGTGTGTGTGTGTGTTTGTGTGTGTAATGGAATCCAAATGTATATATTCCCATGTACATACATAAATATAATACATAAATATATATATATATATTTCATATGTATGTTTAGAGCTCCAAAAAATATTCAGTATTTTAAACAACTGAAATTATTGCTGGGATTTGAGATGGTCCATGTTTCTACCTGAATGTCACATGCTACTTCCACCTTTCCATATTTAAGAATTAGGTCATTGAGTGTTGCCACATGCTCTGTTCCCAATGTGAGTTTCTTATTTTTCCAAAACTCACAGCCTTTGGAAAAAACACTACTCTTGGAAACTTTTTGTTTTAAGCAGTACTTGGGCCATTTACCTGGTTCAAGATAAATTACACAAAGCGAAACAAAAGACATAAAGAGGCTGGAGGGTAGAAAATGCACTTGGATTGCAAGAATTTGAAACAAATGTTCTCTCCATTTAGGTGGTACATTGCAGTTGGGAGTCCTTGATGATTGACACCACTCGTCAAACTGACAATGCAACCCCCCATTTAGAAACTGGACAAAGGTTTCGGGAGTTAGAGATGATGCATAGCTTCCTGCTCTGCCCACCCCCTTTCTTTTGTTTCCATTTCAGAAGCTGTAATAGAATCTAGATCTATCACAATAAAACTTAAGCATAGAGTTTTGCAAAAAAGGATTACAGTTTGTAAGATTTCAGCCTATAATCATTCACCCATAATGTATTGACTTTTCCTATTTGTTCTACCACAATAGGCCCTGGGGGTGAGAAGGGTATAATCCTTTATTAATTAGCAAATTATTGATGTCCACAGTAGCTCAAGTGGTGATTTTACTTGCTCTTCATAGAGGGACCCGTTTTTTTCCTTCTCGTTTTGTTACAGTTTCCATTCCTGTTCAGCTATTTAATGAAGAATCTGGCGGATTTAATCTTTTAAACTACTGAATCCAAAAAAACAATAAAGGCAACAGCTCATAAAATCATCCTTACCTGATTTTGTACATGAATATAATGTATCTTGATCAGAATGACAGAGACACAGGCAGATCCTGAATTAAAGGAAAGCTCGTAGTCTTCGTTCAGACCTTTTGTTTGTTCATTTACAGGGCAATGGTAGAGTATTTTCGGACTTTTGTTAACCATGAAGAAAAACAGGGTCTTAAATTCAGTATGTGTTGCTTTGTGTCACATGCCTTATTAATTAAATCTCCATCATATGTTTATTAACTTAATTATATATTTATTTTTTTCCACAGTCCCTGGATGGCTTTGTATTTGCACTAAATCAAGAAGGAAAATTTTTGTACATTTCCGAAACCGTCTCCATCTACCTAGGCCTCTCACAAGTAAGTAAAATGACAATTTAGATTCTTGACGGAGATTGTGAAGGCTCCTTCCGCCTTGTGCTTTTCCCTCTCCAATAGATATTCTGTTTAGCATGAATTATCAAATTTATTCTTTAATGCCTCTACTTGTCTCTTCTCACAAAGTCAGTGGGAAAATTCTGTCCGTTCGGAACGCTTGGAACAAACTTGTGCTCCAAAACTTTAGTTCCCCCTCCCCCCAAGGATCATTATTAATTTATTGAGAACAAATGAAGTTTCTTCCTCCGTTGTTTTGAACTTTGAAACCTCTGTGCCCGGTAGAAGAGGGACACACTAATGGTGCTTCCCTTGTGTCCTATTACTGGATGTTTATGGAGTACCCTGCATTATCCTGGGAGCTGACACAATGACAGGGAGTCATTTGGAGTCAAGAAATGCTGAAAGAGACCATTAAAATGTGTTGCAGGGAAGGTTCCAGCAAGGATATATTTTGCTGCCTTTGCAAATGCTTCTTAATGCTGAAAGACAATTTCATAAAATAAGATAGCCTTTCATGATGTGCAGTTTAATTACTCGCACGTGTCCGTCAGAGGTTGAAAGAAAAGAAGATGGAGGCAGCTGGGGCAAGGGACAAGTTCCTAGATGTTATTTCCTGATATTCCCCCCGGAACACACAAATTTTACTTCTGTCGGATTCAGGGACACGGGCTACATCTACAGAATGTCAAAATCCCCTGAAGAAAAGTTTTCAATTCCACTAATTATCCAGATGTGGTGTTTCTCCCCCCCCCCATAAAAATGCTGAACATCTGGATATCTGCCCCCACACAGGTGATTGACGGAGTTTGACCCTTTTCATCTGGTGGTTTGGCATGAGGAGAACACAGCCTTGGTGGGAGGGATTTTGTATGTATGTGATGATCTGCCAAGTTGGATAATCTACTTCTCATTCAGTTGTCCCTTGGAGCTAAAGATGGAGATAAGATTTGTCTCTCTCCTCTTAAGCAAGACCCACCCCAGACTCACTGCTTCCGAAAGTTGGCACCCCTCTAAGGAGGCATCCAGCATGGCTGGAACATTTTGGCTGTTAGTGAGCTTGCTGGGTAAGAGCTAAATCAAGAAGGACATTGGGAAATAAGAAAGATATTTGGCATTTGAGGAGGGTTGGAGAAGGAGGGGAAATGCTGCCAAATTTGATTATTTACTATTGAGAATCCAAGCAAGGGTCCATTAACTCTTCCTTGAAGAACACGCAAGCTATTGGCTATAGTTTATAGAGAAATTCTATTGCATGTGGGTTTTAACAAACCAAATGATGGAAACAGGGCTATGGTTAACTCATTGTCAGTATTCTTTCATCTTGTTGAAATCTCTGGTTTTGTCGCAGCCTTTCAGAGATTTTAATCCTTGTCTTAATCTGTTTGGGATGGAGTTTTTGAGAATCTCCAGTTTGGAAATGGGCACACCGCCATGTTCGTTCACACTGCTCAGAACTGGAAACACCACTGTTTGTTGTTCTGCAATGCCCATATTCATCTGTTTTACGCAGAATATCCAACAAAGTTTAATAAGCCGGTGAAGAAGAAGGATGAATAATTAGTTTAAGCAGGTAAATGCTAATTAGGGAACTCCTGAAAAGCATCCATTATATACTAGCTCAAAACACATTTTACAGCCCTGGTTAGTGGTGTAATCCAAATTCTGTCAAGGCAACTGCATTTTCTGTAATTGAGATGTGTATGTTTGCTTTGCATAACAGATGGCTCTGTATGCTTAGACTGATAGCTAGGAAAATAATAATTGCATTATTCTGGCCAAAAGAATATTAGCTCTTGGGTTTTGGCCATTTCAGTCAGTCCTCCTGCCAGCACAGCATATGCACATATATGGATTGGATTTTCAAGGAAATTGATGCATCTGGAATAGTGTGGCCATCTGAAATATCATCTGTTCAAGAAAAATTTGGCTTTAACCCTGTGCTGGTTTCTCCTTAAAAGCAGTATATTTCACTGCTTTTCTACTGTAACATTAAGTCAATCTTTTCTTAAAATCTGAGACAAATAATTGAGGTTTCTGCAGAATAAAGCAGCTGTGTAGACATGGAACAGTAGCTGGCACCTTCTGGGCAGTCATTCCCTGCTATTTTATGTGATGGGTTTTAAAGTGTGTATCAATAGTCAGCATCTTGCCTTGCCCGGGAGCAAACGCTGGCCCCGGTGTCTCTCACCCTCCATGGTACATGTGTTCAGTGTCCCCAGCAAGGGTGGGACATGCAGGTGAAATCTATGAGGTACAGAGGGCTTCATTTGGAAGTGATGAAGGCTAAGTCACTAGGAAGTGATTTGCATATGCCGATGTAGGTGTTCAGCGTTCGAAACCAAAGTTTATGAGTACTTCCAGGTTAACGCGAAAATAATCCAATTAAGGGCACGGGATGTTTTTAAATGCCTAAAGAATGAGAAGGGAAAAAAAATCTATGCCAATACTCTGGGAAAGGATTTCCAACCCAGTAAATGTTATGTTCTAAGTCCTAATAGTATCCTTGACACTCAACCCTTTTCAAGTTTCTTCAGTGTCCTCTGGCACTTGTGCGGGTACAGGGTCCTCATGGGGGATGTGCTATGTAAAATGTGCTCAAAGTTATTCAATTAAGTATATACTTAATTTTTTACACACACACCCTTAATTGAATGCAAACCAAACACTCTGTTTGTGTCCCACAACTTTGGCTCAGAAGTTATTCCATCAAATTCTAGACAGAGATAAGGAGTCTATGAAATTATGGTCCCTCAGTTCCTTCTTAAATAGTTTTGTTAAATAAAGACAAAGCATAACTCATATCATCAAAGACTTACCCAGCAAAACTGTTGAGGAATATTGTGAGCACGTCAGCTTGTTAGAGCGTAGTTATATCTGCCTTTGTAACTCTCAAAATATTCCTTCCTCAGTTTTATTTTCCTTCAACATGTAAATAAATATGGTGGCTTTAAAGTGGCTTATGTTCAGGAAAGAATTAGGATGATATTTTGACTTGTGAGAAAACTAAGTAGAGAAACTTCTACTGAGCTCTGTTGGCATGGTGTGAATATGGAGACAGAGCAGATTTCTTCTCTACCCTCTGTTGAGTGTAACAGCTCCTGGTGTCCAGTGCATGCATGTGGCGGTTATTCTCTCTGAAGTATTTTCATATTGTCATGATGATGGGAGGGAAGGGATCTGTAATGAGGTTCAAACCTCCTTGGGCAGCCCTTTTGACTTTGCCAGAGATATATATTTCATTCAACATCCAAGATGGGGTTTCAGGTTATAGAAATATGCACTGTTGGCTTGCTTCCCTAAGTAAAGATGATTCCCAACTACTCACTGTGAAGACATCTTAAAGAAAGAGCCCCAGATAGCGATACTGAGTTTGATTTTGTGGGGATTAAATGCCTTCTTATGCGTGGTGATAACATTCAGAGCTGTTAAAAACTAACTCTACTTTGTAGCTATCATGGAATAAGCATAAGTGGAAATGAAGAAAGAAAACAGTGTATTCCCTAGCACTGAAAATGTAGTAATGATACATAGTAGGATTTTAAGAAATCTCTTCCAGGGTGTAAGGGACGTAATCACCAAAGGATCCAAAGGAGACTTTTTATGATAAATAAAAAAAATTTCTAGTTGATATAGGACTTAGAGAAATATTCATTCATTGGCTTATACCCTCCTGTTTCCACAAATGCATAGAATAATGCATAAATAAAAAATAATAGCACAAAAAAAAATTTAAAAAGATAATTGCACAATATAGCCACAGTATAAGGAAAGAAAAGGTAAAATTAAGTCATTTTTTTACCCCATAGTAGGCAAACACAATAGAGGCTCTAAAAAAGGATATAAGTAGTCTGATAAAGCCTCATATTTAGCAGTGAGCTCCCTGGTAACCAAAGCAAAAAGGGAAATACAGCCATTCTTCAAAAAATAAGGAAGCATTGCTTCTTAAGGAAAGCAAAGTTTTTCTGGGGCTGCAGTATAAAAATATATCTCAAATATAATCTCTGTAGAGGTCAATATATGGATTATGACATACTGATTTGCTTCTGTTGGAGTTCATATTCAGAGCAAAGCTGTATTGACCATGTAACCAATATGAATGAACATATTGCAAATCTCATAAGCAGACAGGAGACTCTTCCCCCTCCCCAGACGTTGGTGTGCTGAAGATCATTCTGCGAGTCATTTTCTGACATCCAGGCCTCATAATAGCTTTGACTAGTTTGATGGTTTATGTGCTTGTATAAATCAGCTTTCCCTCATCCATACATACACAAACCCTGCATTTTCTCTTAACTACTGATGAGAAGTTTAACAGTACAGTTGCTGGAGGCAGAGGACATGGGTCTCAGTTAAACAGAGGATAAAAAAGGACTTGTAGTTTTTGAAAACATTTTTCTTTGAAAGTGGGGTGAGAAATGATGATTCTTGATGCACACCTGTGCCAGCAAAATGTTTTCAATTTAACATAGAGTCTTATTTAAAATAAAATAGGATCTAGAGCAAACTGGGAAATTAACAGATTTTTACACTGTGATATCATTAGAAAATACCCTGCAGCCAGCTAACCACTCTCTTGAGATGCTTCCTAATCTCGCCCCAACTGCCTCCAGTGTCAGCTTGCCCAACACTTCTCACCCAGTCCCCGTCCTGGTGGAAGATACATCCTTGTTGTCGTAAGCCCTCCGGAAAGTAGCCGCAGACAAGCTTACAAATTGGCTTGTTTTAAGGCAGCTTGCTGAAAGGGGCAGGGTGGTCGTAGACAGAAGGGCTAATAAGAGGTGAAAGTGAAAAGGGGTAAATGATTGTTTTGAATTTAGTCTTTTTTTTTTTTTTAGCCCTGCAGATACATTTACCACCAACTCCTTTCCCCATCCTATTGTTGTTCATCCCCATACTCTAGATTTCTCTGCATTTGTTATATAGAATGGCAAATAAAATTACAGCTACAGCACACAAGTACAAGGTCAAATAAATGACAGAGC